GAAAAAGCCATGTATGACACATCTCTAACATATCTATTTGTAAAATCCTCAACATGAACCCGTGGCAGCTACATGTCACGATGGAAAGCCTTCCTCTTTATTGGCTGAACTGCGTAAGAATGGGTGAGTCTGAAATAAATTACCTTCTTAACGAGTGAAAATAAATAGGGGTCATTTCTGTGAAGAAATTTATACATTTCCTATTTATATTTACTTATACCTGAATATTAGAATATGTTCTTTCATAAAGCATTCTTGGCTCATTCCCGATGAAACTTTTCTCTCCTTTTCCTGAATTACTGTGGTACGCTACCTACATTTCTGCTATCCATTTACCACACTTTAACTCATATAATTAACTTTTGTAGAAGTGTCTTATCTCCCTTTTACTATCCCTGGAGGAGTGGTGTTTCAAAGCATTATCACAGTACCTCGTACATAAGTGCACATAAATGCAACATAACAGTAAGCAAGTTGTCATCAAACAATGCTTCTAAGATATGGACCCCTTGCATCAGCTACTCCAGGTGCTTGTTAAAATTTTGATTTTAAATCTAAATCCTCCGGCCCTACTGAATCAGAACCTCTGGGCGTGAAGTCGAGAACCCACATGTCAATGAACTCACCACAGTTCGAGAACTATGAACTCCAGGGAATGACGGTCACAGTAAAATGTGGGACGGCAGACAGGTTCATCTTGAGTGCCGACTGGTGGTGGGTGCTGCAGAATGGAATTCTCAGGCTGAGTCTAGAGAGACTCTGGGAACCGATGGCACCTAACAGTGATGTTTGCACGGCCACGAGAGGGGTGGGGCGGGGCGGCGGGTGTGCAGCAGTTGGGCATTTCTGAATGTTGGTCTCAGGAATGGAGAGAGTGTACCATCCATCCTAAGAATAATCACAAGTTACCCTTGAAGAGGTGTTAGGCGCATGGGTATCAAACTCATTTTCACCGGGGGCCACGTCAGCCTCGTGGTTGCCTTCAAAGGGCCGGATATAATTTTAGGGCTGTAGAAAGGCAACCACTGCTTAACAGTTAAGCGAGAGCTCGGCGCTGCCGCAGGGTGGAAACAAGGTGCTGGGCCGGATAAAACAAGGTGGAGGGCCGGACTCAGCTTGCGTGCCTTGGGTTTGCCTCCTGTGTATTAGGGTCTGTATGTTTTTCCTAAAATTATTATGATAATTATTGGAAATGAAGTTTTTAGGATGGCTTATACAAATCTAGAAGAAAAAAAAAAAAGCCCATCTAAGGATGACAGCTTCCACATGCCTCTGCTTCCTCTGGGACATCCTAGAGTTGGGATTTTGGCGGCTCGTGTTTCTGCTGATTATGAGAAATGTGCTACCAAGAGCAGGAGTGACCCTACTTCCAGGACTGCAGGGATGAGGGAAGGCAGTGGCTCTGGGAACTCCGAAGGTTAATGATACGAAGAGTCTCTGGACAGGAGCTCTAGCCTTTGGTAGACACAATCTGTGGCAACACAGTGGGGTGGGAGCTGACGGAATTAGTAACTGGATCGCACTCTCTCGTACCCTTCAACCTCCAAAAAGAATCTCCGACAAGGCATCCTGTTGATCTAGTCCTTATGGGTCAGCTTTCTGGAACTGAGAGCAGGGTGAAGAAAGGTTGAGAGCGGATGTGAAGGAACACATGGAAAATAAACAGCAAAATTCCCCTATCAGACCTAATTTTTATAATGCTCCTTTTGTATCTCGCTCCTCAGGAATCTACAGATTTCTAAAGTCTTGCTTTCACAATCCCCTCTGAATATTTACTATAGTTGTCTCCATAGATACTCTTTCTGTTTGCTTTCAAGGCAAAACTGGGAGGACCGTGGGGAGTAACAGTAATCCATCTGCTATGTACTGAGTTGTGAGCCCCACACACTCGTTGCTTGAAGTCCTGGATCCTAATGTGACTGTATCTGGAGATGGGGCCTTTAAGGAGGTCACTGAAATTGAATGCTACATGGAGTGGGGCCCTGATGTGATAGGACTGGTGTTTTTATAAGAAGAGGAAGGGACACCAAGGGTGTGAGCGCTTGTGTGCGCACTGGCGCATGTGCACACACGCACGGAGAAGAGGCCACCCGAGAACGCAGCAAGGAGGCCATCTACAAAACAAGGAGAGTCCTCAGGAGAAACCAACCCTGACGAGCAACTCGATCTCGCAATTCTAGCTTCAAGGATTCTGAGAATTACATTTTTTTGTGCAAGCCACCCAGGCCATGGTATTTTGTCAGGCAAACCTAGCTGAATAATATGCCATTGCTTCTAAACATCTTTCTTTGAGCATTGTATTTTTTCATTCTTTGTACATATTGCCTACTATTATATTTAACCCTCCGAGTCCTAGGAAGTAGATATCATCAAACCAGTTTTCACAGACAAGAAAGCTGAGGTTAGACAAGTGAGTGGCTTGTCCATGGCCACAAAATATCATAAGTGGCAGAGATCTGTGGTGGGGGGGGCACTGCCCACAGGGCCCACCCCCTCCCCCCGTCTGCCATGGATGAGAGTAAGTCTACCAAGACATGATCTACTTGGGGAGGAAAGGTGGCCGATCTCTTGAAGGAGAAGGACCAAGAGCCTTTTCCTCAATGGGCTTTTATTGGGTTCATTTACACAGGAATTCAAGTAAAGCTCATTGCTCATTGCTGGGAAGTAAGGATCAAATAATAAGGAACTCGCTTATTTTGAGTCAGGGCCAGATAGCCAAAGAGCTGTAAAAAACTTTAAAGAACAAACGTACTTCTTCCTTGGACACTTATCATTTAATTGAGAGCATTCTAAACAAAGCAGGTTTCACAGGATCTTACGTATTCTTTCTTAGGCCTGATCACCCGGGGAACCCGCCCTTTCCAGCAGAGTGGCACCACCCTCCATCATTGTTTCAGGCTTAGGTGGAGCAAGGGAACTAAGGCAGCCAAGAGATTAGGAGATTTTCTCGCAGACTATGAGGACTCAGGCTCTGTCAAAGGTCAAAGCCGGGGGGTGAGGGCCCATCACACCCTTTTGATGTAGCCCCCAAAGTCCTTCCTTGGGGGCCTCCCATGTGATCGTGCCTGTCTTAGATCATTCCCCTCTTGGGGGATCTTTCCTGTCACTGGCTAACCGACCAAGCACTGGGGGCCAGTTATGGATGAAGTAGCAGAAGCAGAGCTCCTGCCAGGGAGATAATCTTGTCTCCTTGGTGGTTTACGGTTCCAAGGTCATTCCCTCAGCCTTAACCTTGGCGGGGGTTACAGCTTCTGATACCAGGCAGGGCAGTTCCCAACAATCTGTTATTGGAACTTCTGTCTTGTTTGGCTGTAAAGCCATTACATTGCGCTGGTATCACATGAGAAAGGAATGTTAATTACTGGGGCTCTGCTGGGGCTGGGTTCAGTTAGGAACAATTATTTTATCTTTCTGCAACACCCTTAGCCTTCTTTTTTCTTCTTGGGCTTCAATTATTACTCGAACTCATGACTCTCAAAGCTATAACTGTAACCTACTCCCCTTTCTTTAGTTTCAGACTCGTCTTTGCTGCTATCTACTGTATACCTCACCTGGATGTCCCACGTGCATCGTAATTCAGTACAGAGCCACGAATTGAAATATTCGTGTTATTCTAGATTCCTTCCTCTGTCCTCTCACTAAGCTGGTCCGAACTGGTCACTAACCATAGTGGCTTTAATCTCCTAATTGTTTCTCAAACATATTATTTTCTCTTCATTTCCACTGCAGCTGCTCCCAACCCAGTTCCTGGATTATTGCAGTAACCTCCTAAACCAAGTCTCACCACCTTCCATCCTCCCCACTGCTACCTCAGGGTTTTGTAACCGCAAAACTGCCCTGCAGTGATTACTCCATTGCCTTTAGGTTAGAAGACAAATTTCTTAATGAGTCAAAATCTGACAGCTACCTTCAATTTCATCTCCCCAGCTAAAGCCAAAAGCAAATCATTTGACTTGTCACTTAGTCTAGTATTTAAAAGAGCTTGCTGGTGTTAGGCTGCCTTAACTTGAACCAAAGCTTGACTTCTTACTAGGGGTGCAAAATAGGTGTGGAAACGTAACTAGGTGTCTAAACGTGACTAACAGAATCTACTTCATAAGGTTATTGTGAGGTTTAAGAGAGCTAATACACACAATGCGCTTGTATCTTAACCGACACATAATTTGTTGAGTATTAGCTACTACTATTGTTATCATTAGCCCTCTCAACCCATGCATTTGTACTTCTGGTCGCTCTGCCTGAAACACCAGTCACCTCTCAGCATCTGGCTATCCTTTTTCTTTTTTATCAGTACTCAGTGCAGGGGCCCCATCTCCCAGCAAGTTTACCCTGCCCCGTCGGCCTATTTCACTGGTCCCCGCCGTTTCCTTTGCAAACTTCTTTGTCACTGTAACTACCGTTTGCGTCTACCACTAAACTTGGAGTCCGTAAGGGACAGTGTTTTTTTTCTTTTTTTTAAACACGATTTAAGGTCAAGCAAATAACTTTTTTTTTTCCGTGTAACTGCACAGAGAACGACCAGGTATTATGAGACTCGCGAACCACTGTTCCTAAAGTCTACTTTGTCTAGCGCGGCCACTTGCCACGAACATGAGACAAGACTACCCACAGACGACTTCGGGGGTGAGGGGGCTGGCGGTGCTTAAAACACGAACCCCGAAGAAGAAAGGGCTCTCTTCTCACTTTCCTTTCCCAAGAAACTCCTTGGAAGAAGCCCCGCGATTTGCAACCGCGGAGGAATACACGACCCGTTGTGTCGCACTCCACACCTGACCGTGTGACCGCTACTAGTCTGCGCCTGCGCCGCTCTAGCCGGCCAAAGGCTTCTCAGTGGAGAGTGGAGCCATGGTTTACGTGTTCTCATTGGGCGGTAGGAGCCCAAACGGACGGCACGGAAATGACGTAAAGCAGCGCAGGCGCCGGCGGCCCTGCGGCGCGGTGGCTGCTGGGGGCTGCGCGCCATACCTTCCCTCGCCTCTTCCTCCCCCCCCCCCGGCCCCGCCCCCTCGCCGCTCTGTTCCCTGGCGTGACTCGGCACTGTGATCCCCGGGAGAAGCTCCACGGTCGCCACCTCCTCCGTCCAGGCCCCGACCTTCCTCTCCCGGATCGTCGTCTTCAGTTTCGAAGCCGGTGGCGTCTCAGCCTCCTTTGCAGGCTCTCTGAGAATGGTGGGAGTGAAGCCGGTCGGGAGCGACCCGGATTTCCAGCCGGAGCTAAGCGGCGCGGGCTCCAGGCTCGCCGTGGTCAAGTTCACCATGCGAGGGTGAGGCCGGGCCCCAGCCATGTGGCCCCTGCTGTCGGTCGGTGCTTTCCTTTCACTCTTTCCCGGTCCTGATTCCCTGGGGACTCCTCCTGCTCCGGAATGTCTGGCGCTGCTCGCAGCCCCAGGCCGCTGCCCAGTACGCCTCCGCTCTCGGGTCTGAGCCCCCATTTGTGCACAGGGGTGCTTCTGGCGGGCACGGAGGCCAGGCTGGCCGCGTCCCGCAGTCCAGGAGATACCCGCTAGCCCGTTTTGAATCCTCCGACGAGCCCTGTTCTTGGGGGCGGCCCGGCTCTATTCCTTCTAGTCTGGGAGAGTCCTACATCCGCCCCTGCTTGCGTCTGCCCCTTTCTTTCCGGGAACCAGCTGTCACTTGCATCGTAGAAACCTTGAAATCTTCATTTACTGAACGCTTTGCTACTATGCACCACCTGCATTTTTGTAAACCCTTGGAAGCTTCAGATGGGGCTATCCAACTAATCTGCGTAGTACTTAGTCAAAAGGCTGACCTTATGCATTTTAAATTAAGTTAATGTTGGGTTGGGTTGGGTTGCTTTTTAATTTTCTACGTTTTGGTTGCATGTTTGGTGAGTAGCTTTGTAACTTAGGTTTTCCTATGCATGTGATGGCATACCATCACAAAAATTACAGGTGTATATAATATAGGTAGATAGGTGTCCAGATGTTTGGGTTTGACCAAACAGACTTAGTCTTTTACCCGAGGAATTAAATGGACGGGGACCTTGAAAAGGTGTTCACTGGCCTTGGTAAATCTTAACATAATTTACAGGTCGCAGAGCTGGCGGATCTTCCATGTTGGTTGGGTGTGCAGGGTTCCTGTGTGAGAGTGACGTGGTGGAACTGGGCATCCAGGAACGAGATTTGAACGGGTGCATTTACCGACCTTCTCTTGTGTGTGTCGGTGCCTAGTTAGAAGGATTGGAGGTCTCCACTTGAGTTACCTCGACCGCCAACATTACTTAAACAATTACAGTAACTTGGAGAAATGTACTGCAGGTATCCCTGTTTACGTAATGCATTTTATTCTCCAGGTAACTGTATAAACAAAGCAATATTTTGAGTTCCAGAGCAAAAAGTGATTCAAATCTATTGAACATGATTCAATAAATGTTGAATATAGAAGTGGCGGCATTAGGATTAGTTAAAGGGGGTGGAGGGATGCAGATAGAAATGAAAACAAATTAGGACTTATTTTTGGACCAGTCTCTCTTACACAGAGTTAAAGAGGGGTAGGACTTTTAATTTTATATGGTGGAATAGAGTACCCATTTGACGTGTGGACTTTGACATTTACTAAACTGAAGAGGATAAAGAGTTCATATAGAAAGACATGTCTAAAAGGAATGTCAGAATTCTATAACTGTGTCTTACCAGGGTTAACAATTTTGTAATGTCTGTACTCTTAGTATGGGGAATTCTTGTACATTTGTTAAGTACCTAAGCCAGAGTTAGAAAAGGGAAGAGATGATTCTAACAGTGAATTTCATTTTTAGTTCAGTTTCCTAATTCCAATCGGTGGGAGCATTTATACTTTTGTCCCACAAGGGTACCCTCTCCCCCTCCTCTACTATAGAGAGGGAGGGATGACCGAGTAATACATTATCAATGGCAGTGAGAAAAGTGGGAAAATGTTGTGGTTAAGGAAACACCTCCATTAGCAATGTTTTATTTAACCATAAACGTAACTGGAGACATTGATTGGTAAAGCATTGTTATTATTTACTTTTAAAAGGTATTTTGGTGTGATGAAAATTTTGTTTTCTTTTTACAAACTCAGAGCAAATAAAATGGTTGAATTTAGAGAACTTTTAAATTCAAACATATACTTAGGTAATTACAAATCTGGTTAGATTGTATTATGGCCATTAAACCATTCCTACACAAACTTTATGTGATCATGACTCTGGATTTACATATATGGGTAGCAGTATTAGACAACAACTAACTGTACCAAATTAAATCATGTAAGAAACCTCTTAGATCAAAGTTAATGTCCCATTTTAGGCCAAGAAAATAGTTTTCTCCAGCACCTGCATCATTTCCAATTCTACTTTAACCCTTATTCCTTATTTTTCACTTTCATGTGTTATACTGTCTATTAATTTTACTAAACATTACACATATTGTTACTCTTCGGTTTAAAAATCATCAGTGGATCTTCAGTATTTTTTTCATTTTTTATAGATAGTAATATGTATATATATATAACATAAAGTTTAGCATTTTAAACACTTTTCAGTGTACAGTTCAGTGGCATTCAGTATACTCACTTGTTTAAGCTCTCTTATTGACTCATTCGGTTTTCAAAATAATGAAATTATCCCCATTCTACAGTTGTGGAAATTGAGTCACGGAGAGGTTAAATAACTTCAGTCCCATTGGTGAATGCACTGTTTGGGTTGTTAAGGGTTGTCGTTGCTCTTAGCCTAGGCAGAAGGGCAGTGTAGTTTCATTTCTGCAGAGTGAAGAGCCTGACATTTTTCAGTAAATGACTTGAATGCCTTGGCTACCACTCTGTCTGCACGACTAATCTTAATCTTATGACCAAGGACAATTCACTTCACTCTCTGGCATTCTTTCCCCTACCTGTTAATGGGAATACTAACATTTAACCTAACCATATTGTTTAGAGAATAAAATTATATATGTGAATTAATATGCTATGGTAACCTGTTTTTATAACTGGTATCCCCAAACTGCTACTTTTTTAATAAACCCAGATACATTTTAATGGTCACAAGCAGTGCTATTTTTGTTATCATTGGTAGTTAAGCTCCAATGTTAAAAGGATATACATTTTCTCCCCCATAAAGTCCAGTATGAATGATTTTTTTTTATCCTGAATTCATGAATGTATCACTGTTGTAATGTGTTTACTATGTATTCAATTTTCTTAAAGCAAGTGTTACTTTGTAGTTGGTTAGGTCAACCAACCCAACAAGAAAATTAATGTGCATTAGGATGTTGAGTTCTAATGGTTTCGGTAGCTTGTCCAAATAATACATCATACGTATATTGTATTAATTATATACAGCAAAATTGCTGTGGACTGAGGGTGGCTTACTATAGCACAGAGCTAGCAAGCCCAAAAGACCATAGGAACGAGGCAGATATTAGTCAGTGAGGTAGGTAGTTTTAAGATCACTAGGGGCATGGTGAGTGGAAAGAACATACAGAGAATTCTATCAACTAAACTTTTTAATTGAAGTATAGCATGCATACAAAAATGCACACAAATGGTTTAAATGTATAGTTTAATAAATTTTCAAAGTGGTTACATGCATTTAAGCAACACCAGCACTCCTGACCCTCCTGCAAGATCCTCCTCATTACTGTTGAATTTTGACAGTACAGTTTGGTTTTGCCTGGATTTGAACTTTATAGAAATGGTATCATACAGTATATAATCTGTATGGATTCCTTTCAGGAGCATATAAATGATTTTCATCTTGGCATTTAGAAAAAACAACAAAAAGCACTGTCTAGGCCACGGTTCTGGATTTTTGGAATAGCCGTTAAGAGTTGGGTTTTGGCTGAGGCTGGGCGGATCAGTTGGTTGGAGCATTGCTCCATACACCAAAACGTTTCTATTCCCGGTCAGGGCACATTGTGGGTTTGATCCCTCGTTTGGGCATGTATGGAATCAATGTTTCTCTCTCTCTCTCTCCCTCCCTCTCCCTCCACCCCTCCCCCACACACCTCTCTCCTCTATCTCCCACCCTCTCTACTCTCTCCCTCCCTCCCTTCCTCTCACTCCCAAATCAATAAACATATCCTCCAATGAGGATTAAGAGAGAGAGAGAAAAAAAAGCTGAGTTTTGTGATCAAATTCCAGCACTGTACTTCATTGTTCTTGTCTTTAAAATGAGGAATTACAAAGCTTAAATGAATTTAAGGGTTTCATAAGTTGTGTAACATATAGTAAGTGTTCAGTGAATGTAGCTATTTTGTATTATTAATAGGAGCAGTTATGATTATGCCTCCTTACTAGTAAATATAATACATCTAGAAATGACCTATTTTAAAGTTGTACTCTGCAGAAAAAATAAGCTTTTAAAAAATGTCTTCAGAAAGCCCATGCATTTTCCTTACCAGTTTTCTAGCGGAATGTGTTTATACACGTGATTGTTCAAGGTAGAGCACTGATGACTTTAGCAAATAGGGAAGAACAGCAAGTTTCTGACACAGAATCCATGTTATGATTGTAAACAAGAAAGTTTACTTGTTAAGAAGAAACTAAGGCTGTGCTTTCGGAGAAAGCTGATTTTGGACTGGATTTAGGACTTAACGGTTCTAGTTCTGGTCATGCCAGTAACTAGAGTGTCTCATCTTGGACAAGTTGTTTAATTTTCTGGGCTTCAGTTTCAGTTCTCACATATCAAATAATTTTAGGTTAGGTCAGTTTAAAAGTTTTAGTTTTTGGGGGGTTGGTTCTTCATGAATTGCAGAAAGCTAGCAGGTTGCCTGCTGTTATTCTCTTTATCTCAAAAAGCATAACAGAATCCTTCTTACATATGCATTCTGCATGTTTGAGTTAACAGATAAGCCTTCAGTCAAAAAGAATTTCAGAGGTAGAAAAAGAACTCTTCTTTTTTAAACCTCTGGACTAGATGTTTGGTGGTGTCTTTTATAACAAGTTCAAAGGTCCTGTGATTGCGAACTAAGGGCTACGAGTCAAGGTCTGCACAGGAGAAAAAAGTACAATCTTGAAATCCAAGCATATTTGGTGTAATATTTTAGAGATGGGAGAGGTCCTTGGAGAATCTGTTCGCTTCTCATTTCATACAGAGAAATTGGGTAACATGTTTATGAGCTCAGCTGATAATGGAAATTTAAGTTTACTCTTAAATGCTAATGATAAACAAGGCAAACATCTTACTTAAAATAACTGGTTAATTTGAATTATTAAAGTGTGAAGGTAGGCTACTATATAATATTTGTGCTGTATTCTATGACTTATTTTGACTTAAGTTCCAATCTATGTAGACTAACTGTAATTAAGCAAAAAATCTAGACAAGGTTAAATTTTGGTAGGGAATGGTTATTTGCAAGGTAGCCTTTATTTTATACAGTCTGTTTGGCTACAAGAAGTGCTTCTTGAACACCAGCTAGTTCATACGTGATTGGTGATGAGAGCAGTGATGTCAGCATCACGTGGACCTTGTGTCGGTTCATATTCTGTTTTTCCCAGATACTGAAGAGGAGGAATGGAAATAGAACCTTTAGCAGGAAGGAGAAACGCTAGCCCTCAGCCACACAGGCCAGCTCCCCTTCAGGTTTATTTTAAGAAAGTTAAAGTTAGTAAAATTTAACGTGAGCACCCAGCGCAGTTGCTCAAAGGATTTGTGCTCAGCGTTGCGCTTCCTCCTGCCCCTCCCCCCCTTCGCCGCCGTCCGTCCCACTGGCTCGGAGCGCCACTTCCCTCTGGATCTCGCAGCACCTGTGAGCGGCGCTTCCACTGGATCGTTGTGTTTATTTCCAGTGTCCTCTGAGGTCGCCTCTAGGGCTGAGCCACCTGCCCAGCTGCCCCAGTATTTCCTGAGTACTACTCACTGTTTTTCTTAGGGGTATTTTTACAAAATTGTGTGGGTTTCAGTGGGTTGCATCAGTCTTACTCCCCACCCCCCCACCCCTTACACTCTATTTTTCGGCATGCTTTTACAGAAGGCAGATTTTTCAGGAATGAGTATATTGTTGTATAACCTAAAGACCTGTTCCTCTTTTGTGACAACTTATTTAATATTTCAAAATAAAAATACCTGTTCATCATAAAAAAAAGCAAAGGTTGCAGAAGTATGGATAATTTTAAAAGTTTCCCCTAAACTTGTGTGTGTGTGTGTGTGTGTGTGTGTGTGTGTGTGTGTGTGTGATGTGATCATGAGACTTAGTTTTCTTTACACAGCACAGATTATTCTTATCCCCTGGTGTGAATGGGCCATACTTGTAACACTATTTCTTTCTTAATTGCCATTTAGATTCTTTCGTCTCTTTTTTCTTTTTTTTTAACTACCTACAACCATTGCATTCTTTGAACTTCTTATACAAACTGTGTAATTGAGTAAGTGTTAAGATAGGATTGACTTGTAGAAGTAAGATGGTTAAGTCTTGGGTTGTACTCATTTAAAATTGATAAGTAATGACTCACTGGCCCTTCATAAAGGATCTACTAATTTGTACTCCCATCCATAATGTTTAAGAAATTAATAGCTAGAAGTAATTTGTTAAACTACTTATAGATTTAGTTGACTATAAATGTTTTATTTCTTTATAATTTTGTCCCAGGGCCTACTTGAGGATTGTTAAATCCAAAAATCTACTTTCAGAAGCATCTAGTTTAATATATTTAAGAATTTAATAGTTACTTTCTTAGCTTTTTGATGTGAGGCTTAAGGATAGCCCAGGATGAGAGTGCTGCTTAGAGTGTTAAGAGTAGCGAGACAGTCACAGTTTGAGTTTGAACATTTTGTGCTTTGAAATTTGCTTTTCCTTGTATTTCTGTACACAGAAGCCAAGATTTTTTCTTACTCTTTTGACTTTTTATTGAGACATAACATACATAGTGCAGAATTCTAAATGTGTATGGCTTAGACAAGTGTCACAAACTGAACACATGTAGCCATGTAATCAGCTTCTGGGCAAAGAGGACATTACCAGCCTCTTGAATTCTCTCAAGTGGTACCATCCTGTCACGAACTTTCACAGAGGTAACCTTTGTCCTGATATATACCACCATTGACTCATTTTGCCTGTGTTGGAACTGTACACACCTGGAATCATATAGTGTCCATCTTTCCTCGGTACTGTTTGTAAGGTTCACCCATGTTTCTGCAAGGGATTTTACCTTAGTCATTTTCATCGTATAGTATTCCACTCCATGAATAACTACAATTAATTTACTCACTATGTTGTTGATAGGGATTTGAGTAGTCCTCAGTTTGGGGCTCTTAGAAATGTTGCTACTATCAGTTTTTGTTTGTCTGTTTGTTTGTTTTAAATGCTGTAAGGCAAGCGTATGTGGACATTTCTTTTGTGTATGTGTGCCTCAGAAACCACCGTAGGTAGGCATTAACCTCGCACTAGCAGAGGCTGCCGGTTTCTCGTCTTCCCTTCCGAAGTGGGTTATACCAGCTGCCACTGAGTTCAGTTGCTGCACTTTCGTGACCATACTGCATGCTGTCTTGTTTTCAGTGTTGTGGTGAGTTTAGTTTGTACACGTGTTCCCTGGTGGCTGGTGACACAGGGCGTCTTTCCATATTTATCGACTGTCTTGATAACCTCACTCGTCAGGTACCTATTCAGAAGTGTACCTGTTTTTCTTTTGGGGTGTCATTCTTGTTCTTACTGATTTGTAGGAGCATTTTTACATACTAGAGGTATTAAGTCCTTTGTTTATGTTTGACAGATTGTTTTTATCAGTTTGTGTGTTATCTTTTTACCCTCTAAGTAATATTGTGATAAGTCTCAGTGTTGATATTTTCTAGTTTTTCAAGTATGTTTCAATATATCATTATATAATTTTTTCTTTAGTGGCTTTTCTGTTTGCAGAAATCTTTGCATACTCCAGGTTTTAGAAAGTGTTCTCTCTACATTTTCTTAACACCCTTAATACTTTACCTTTCTCATTTTAATCTATAATCCATCTGGATTGGTGCTTGTGTATGGTGTGAGGTAGGGGTCAAAATTCATTTTTTTCCCATTTGGATGGGAACTAAGCACTAGTTAACTAAGCACTATCATCCTTTACCCACTGCACTTTTGTGTCACCTTTTTATTAAACAGGCTACTGTGTATGGGATGGGTCTGTTCCTTTTTTTTTTTTTTTTTTTTACATTGGTCAGTTTGTTATCCTTGTGCCAGTATTGTGCATTCTTAATTTATAAAGCTTTATGATAGTTTTTAATACCTGGTAATGTAATTTCTTCAGCTTTGAACCTTAAAATAGCTTGGGATATACTCAGTATTTCCCTATACATTTGAGAATATGAATTTGTTAATTATTCCAAGAAAACCTAGTGGGGTATTTTGTGGACTATAGAGACCAAATTGAGAATTGACACCTTGAAAATACTGAATTATCCAATTCATAACCATGATATGTTCCTTCACTTAAGTAGACCTTTAACTTGTCTCAGTGAACAACACTGAAAGACTTAACACTACTGACCTCTAGCTTTGTAACACTCATCTGTAGTCATTGAGACGATTGGTATTAGCCCTGGTCGCTGAGCTCAGTTGGTTAGAGTGTCATCCCGATGCTCCAGGATTGTGGGTTTGGTCTCTGGTCAGGGCACATACAAGAGTCAGCCAGTGAGTACATAAATAAATGGACAACAGTCCGAGTCTCTTTCTCTCTCCCTCTCTCTTCCCCTTCGTCTCTCGTTCAAAAAAAAAAAAAAAAGACAATGTGGTATTGATGCAAGTGTATCTAAATAGTTCAGTGGAAAGGACTTGAAAGTCTAAGGCCAGGATGATCAGAATGTGTGTTTTTCATTTTATCTTTTCATTCTTAAGCTCTTTACAGTATAAATTAGTTCAGTCTTTGATGTTATTTTACTGAGCATCGCTTTTACCTTTCACAGGTGTGGACCATGTCTAAGGATTGCCCCAGCATTCAGTACTATGAGTAATAAGTACCCACAGGCAGTTTTCTTGGAAGTAGATGTACACCAGTGTCAGGTAAGGGGAAGGAGTCCTTTTTACAAAATGTTATTTACAAATCGATTTGAATTTCAACGTTAATATTGTCCTGTGTTTATTTCTTTATGCAAATAGTATTTATTAATTTGAAAATAAGAAAATATGTTGATATGATTGTTATAAATGCCATCATGGGTGCATTAGTTAAGAAGGGCAATTCAATTATTAATTGCTTCTGAGTTTGTTTGTATTAGTAGCTTTCTGATATAAAATTAATATGCTGAACTAATAGGTCACCTCGCAGTTTTGTGTGTTTTTACATTTCTTTATTTTTTTTGCAAATCTAGAATTATATCCTCTACTACAGAGGTGTTGGCTGATTAGAAAGCCATAGCAGAAAATTTTTGGTTGTACAGGGAGGGGTGAAAGTAGGTTTACAGTTGTGAGAATATGAAACAGAGTTTATTCTTATATTCTTATTTATTAATTATTGTATTATTTCCCATACAAACAACCATACACCTGCTTTCGCCCTGCCTGCAGTATGATTTGCATTGATCAATTTTTAATCTTAGCTACAAAGCTGCATACTCATCAGAAACTTTAAAATGTTGGTTACTTTTGATTGAGCCACAGTGGTCTAGGTAGAGTGTCCTGATTACTTAGTTGGAATGGCTCTGTGATAGTTGTGCGTTGTCATATGTAGAAATATGGGGGAGTTACTCCTTCTATTACTAAAAATACAGTCTTTTTATCTCTAAGGGACTTTTTAAAATTTTTGGGGGGTGAAGCTTTGTCTTTGTTACCAAGTGTGAAAAGGATTTAGAATGTTATGTAGTTTGTAGTTAGTAGTTTGGGAATTTGGGTAGTGTAAACCCGGTATTAACGTTTATTAGTACTAACGTTACATACCACTGGACTGCAGTACTGGCTCGCATTTTAAGTATCTCCACCTCAGTCTGGAAGTCTGTCTTCTGGAGCCATGCTGTCCTCCAGCTACAGATTTTTTTGTGTTTTTCTTTACTTTTTTATCGTGGACACTAGAAAACTAAGCTACCTATACATACAGTTCACATTATGTTTCTTTTGGACAGCACTGTTAGTACCTTTTTTTTAAAATGAGGCTTAGAGAAGACATTTTCATGTAAACTTTATGCTTTTTTTCTTTAAATGATATAGTGGTTACCTGTTCATAGTATTTGAATATGTAAGGTGACACATTTACTTTGTAAATTCTCATGAATCAGTGCTAAGGAGCTAGTTTCTACTTACTAGTTACTCTTGTAGTAATTGTGGTGTTGGAGCAGAATTTAAAAAGATAGCTCTTGCAGCATGTTGGATGGGAGATAAATGTTAGAGACTGGGTGAGGATTGCAAGGCAAAGTGTGTTACCTCGTCTTCATGGTGGGGCGGACTTCTGTTTTCACGTGTGTGTTTTCCCCAGCACCAGCGGTTTGTGTTGTCATACCCGTATCCCTTTGGGAAACGGTATGCGCTCATAAGAGAGCTATCTGGTATTGTACAGCAGTTTCTGTGTGGGGAGCTAATTGTTCTATTGCATGGAGTATTTAACACTAAAACTGATACAATACAGTGCTGTTCTTCATTGTGGATGTAAAGCAAATAATACAATGTAGTTGGACCTCAATGGGTAATGTAGTTTAAAACATAGGCCTACTTTTTTTTAAGTAGCAATTAGGAATAAATTATTTTGCATGTTACAGTCCATGCTTCTGATATTTAACTTCCATACAGATAGAATTTGAATATTCAGAGTAGTTTACGATTAATTTTAATTCATGATGCTATCTGATTTGTCAATTCTAGGGAACAGCTGCCACCAACAATATATCAGCAACACCTACATTTTTGTTTTTTCGGAACAAAGTAAGAATTGATCAATATCAAGGAGCAGATGCTGTGGGATTAGAAGAAAAAATCAAGCAGCACTTAGAAAACGACCCTGGAAGCAATGAGGACACAGATATTCCAAAAGGCTATGTACGTAGACTTGGAAGTGAAATCTCGATGTCTTCCTTTTGCCGTTATTTGGTTGAAGTGAGATCGACTGTGTTTTCATGTTTTGTCTCTTACTAGTTTGGAATACTTTCAGATAAGAACTTCAAAAGTAAATTCACTGCCTGACTATTGGGATTTGTCCATGTGTTTGTATTACAACTTTATTCCCCATCATAAACCATTTTCCTGCTAATTTTCTTTGTCAGTTTTTTAAAAAATCTGCTTTCAGAACTATTTTAATAGCCATTTTAAGACTTTTAAAAATGCCTTTTGCCCCCCTAAAAGTAATATGCTAGCTAATGGATTTTGTTTTAGAACCAAATATGACTTGAGTATTGGATGTGTTTTTCTAGTTTTAAGAGTAAGTTATTCTAAATAATAACTTGAAGACGTAACTTCAACAATTCTGAAAACTAGTATGAATAGTTATAGTGCAGTATCTTTGTATTTGAGAGTTATTGAGGAAGTAAGTGAAATTTAGAAGTAGCATTTTATGGTAGCTGATTTGTTTATGCAAACTGGTAAATAAATTTATTGTATTGGCAGATCAAAAAATGAATTTTTTTTAAAAAAAGTGTTACCTCAAATTAAAGCTAATATATGAAAGGATGTATATTGAGTACATTAAAGCAGACCTGTGTCGTGGGGCTACAAGCCCTTTCCCTAAGTCCCTTACACTCATGCTGAATAAGGAGGCTCGATAGAGAAATTCGAGAGATTCTTTGAGTGTGTTTGTAGGTGTGGGGGTTGTGTCTTCAACAAGTGACTAGCATGTGGTACTGACAGTTGTTTTTAGTTAGGGAAGTACAGTGCATATTTATTTAAAGTAGAACTGTTATATATTGAATAATAACTTGAAATTTGCGATATCCAGTTAGAAAGTATAAACATGTTGTATAAGTCAGGGTTATGGCACCTTTTGGAAAATTTTGGAAATAATTTGCCTTGTAAACTGTTGTGCTTACATCTTTGTATTTTTTTCTTTATTACTGAGGGTGTTTGCGTGAAAACACCTTCTGAGCACAGCAGCCCTGCTGCTTAGCTGCAGGGATACTTCCTTCCACGTCAGCTGGGTGCGCTAGCATGCATTGGCCTCAGGTGGGGAAACGAGCAGGACAAAATAAAATTTAAAGAAATAAAAAAATTTGTTTTCATGCAAATGTTATGAATACCATGTGAAAAGCTATTAAAACGTTTTCTTTTTTTCCCATCTGGTGTCAATCAAGACATTAAAAGTTTTGGACTATTTACATCTTAAGATTATTGAATGTTTAATACTGGTAATGTGTTCCCAAAAAACATTGCTCCCACAACACAAGTAGAGTCTTAATGGGGGTAAGAGACACTGAATGAAAATCTGTGTCTTAAATAGATTTAAATAGAGCGTTACAAAAATGTATTGACAACTTTTAAATAACATTTTCAATTTTTTGGAATAAAGCCTTTAGGCATTATGTTTTAATTCTAAGAGGCTGTACAGTTGTTTATTTTATATGTACTATAGTTTTGAAACTCATAATTTAACTGGAGCCAGAGTAAGATAGATGCAAACATGTGTCTCCTTGAGGAGGTTTCAGATATTGCAGAAGATACTCAAAAAGTTAAGAATCATAATAGATTCTTATTCAGAAGTAAGAGAGTGCTTTTTTGAACACAGTGATTTAGTTTTTTTACATGTTTACTGAAGTTAGGAAAATTTAAAGCATTACATCTTCTCTTGCCCATAATTTGCTGAGAGTACATACTGTAGGTGCAGATAGCTCCCCTCATGCCCTCTAAATCCAGTCTTCTTCTCCCACAGTTTGAATGTGAGGCAGTCTGGAGCTGAGCTTGCATTTGCACGTGCTCTGAATCTTGAGGCTTGTTAGTATATTGTTTTGACCTTAGAACTATAAGTTTTGGTCTATAAATATGTCATCCTTTATCAAAGTCAAATCAGACCCTACATGTGAGGGCTACAAAATGTTACTCTGAGTTAATATCTTTAACATTTCACACAATATAACACTTACTGTAATACACAATAACATTTGGCTTTGAAACCATTTAGGCTACCACATGAATAGTTAAGTTTATTATGGTAATGGATTATTACCATTTTTTTTAAAGATTTTATTTCTTTATTTTTAGGGAGGGAAGAGGGGGGAGGGGGGAGAGAGAGAGAGAGAGAGAGAGAGAGGGAAACATCAATGTGCATGCGGTTGCTGGGGGTTATGGCCTGCAACCCAGGAATGTACCCTGGCTGGGAATCGAACCTGGGACACTTTGGTTCCCAACCCACGCTCAATCCACTGAGCTATGCCAGCCAGGGTGGATTATTACCATATTGATAATTATTTTACATGTAATAAAGTTTCCTTTAGTCTTCCAGAAGTATTTATACATGTGTTAGTATCTTTAGGTAAAAAAATATATCATAAAGATTCTGATAGAAAGGTGAACGTGCAACTCACAATCTGCAATATTTGATGAATTTTAAAAATGGTCCTTGGTTAGTGGATGAAATGGATACTTTTCTAGGAAAGTAAAGTTTATCAAAACTCTACTAGAACAAACAGTGAAAGAGCTGTTCCATAACGGCCAAGATAGCTTCCCAGGGGAACTGTACCAAACCTTAAGACCAGATAAAGAGAGAAAACTTTCAGATTTCTTTTGGAAGTATATATGACATTGATCCCAGAATCTGACAGAGTTTGCACCAAAATAGAAAGCTACTGACCAGTTCCAGTTAGGAATATTGTAAAAAAAAAAATGTAGATAAAATATTAGTAGCAAAATCCAACAATCCAGAGGAGAAAAATCATGCTCTCATAATGTGCAGAAAAGGTATTTAACAACACATATTACCCATTTATTTTGCAGTGTTCAATAAAATCTTAACGGGGAAGCACTGAAGGCATTCCCACTGAAGTCAGTAATGAGACAGGGCGGGCTGCTGTTACCATGTGTCTTGGCAGGTTGTGTTGGGAGTGTAGAAGTCTCAGCTAACAGATCGACAGGAATCGTTAAATGCCACTGCCACAGGGGAGCAATCGGCAGAGTCGGGATGTTAGAAATCCGTGGGCTGAGTGATTAGAAAAGGAATTTAAGAGCTGTGTTAACTGAATACAGTCTTGGTACTTTTTTTGCTCCTTATTCAGAGTCTAACAATTCAACTATAAAACATTTGTGAGATAATTGAGGAAATTTAAACACTGGTATTTGACGGTGTTATTTTTTGACAGTATTTTTTTTAGTTTGATAATGATATTGAAGATTTTTTTTTAATGAGTCCTTATCGCTTAGAAATGCTGTACATACTGAAATGTTTGAATGAAATGACAAAAGACTTAAGATTTACTTGAAAATTTCAACTGGGAATGGTTGGGCACTGGTCACAGGTGGAGGTGCAATAAGAGTGGTCATGAACTGGTATTTATTGTGACTGGGGGGCGGGTACATGGAGTGAGCTGTATTAATTCTGTTTATGGATGTTTGAAATTTTCATAGTAAAAACAGTTTAAATCCATATTTGCTAGTCTTTTTTAATCTAAGTCCTTCATGGATATAGGTTTAAAGAAACCATGGCAACTAACAAAGGGAGGTAGGCTTTCTTTGCGTATTTTCTTTCTTTGCGTATTTTAATTTGCGTATTTTCTACCGTAAAGTACTGATACTACAAAAGTATCAGTCAGTGTTGTATAATCTTAGCGTTAAAGGCTTGGTTTTTGATGCCTCATCCAGTGGGCTAAGCCTAGATTTGGCCTCAGTAACGAGTGGTAGCTTTCAGTCAGAAACTCAAATGAAAAGATTACTATCAAAGTTTTTTTTTAAGATTTTATATATTTATTTTTAGAGAGAGGGAGGGAGAAAGAGAGAGAGAAACATCAATGTGTGGTTGCTTCTCATGTGGCCCCCACCGGGGACCTGGCCCTCAACCCAGGCATGTGCCCTGACTGGGAATCGAACAGATTACTATCACAGTTTTAATAACTATTTTAAAAGAGACATTTTCTCTAAAATTGCCCAATCTAGAGCAAATCACATATTTAAGTTTTTTACTAAGAATTTTATGCCAAATCCAAACGCTTTGCCTAACATCTTGATTTACTATTTTCAGATGGACTTAATGCCTTTTGTTAACAAAGCTGGCTGTGAATGTCTTAATGAAAGTGATGAGCATGGATTTGACAACTGTTTACGGAAAGACGTGACCTTCCTGGAATCTGATTGTGATGAGCAGGTAATTGAGCGCCTCGGTTAATGAAGGCTTATAGCGATCATCAGTACTGATGCCTGCTCTTGTTTCTTTATTGGGTTTCCATCTCCTGGTTTTACGTCTCTTTCCTAGGTGACGCCTCTTCCTTTCTTTTTTAACATTTTGGTTTTCTTCGACCCCTGCCCTTGGGCGGTGCAGACCCACCCCCTTTCCTCTGTTCCAGGCCAGGGGCCAGGCGCTCGGGGAGAGTCGCCAAACTCCTGGTTGGCCCCGCTGCCGACGTGAACCGACGTGAACCGTCACCACCCTTCCGTGCTTTTGTTCATTCTTGCCCTCCTCGTATACGTCTTACTCACGCAGAATGAGCACTTCCCGTGTGTCTAGTGCTCACTGCCCGGCGTACCCTGCAGTGCGCTTCCCTAGACGTCCTGCCTTGTCGTCCCAGAGGAAGTAGTGTGGCACTGCCTCCACCCAGCCGTCTTTCATCTCGACTGTTATTTTCCTGAATTGACTTTCTGTTCCACCGACTGCTTTGTGCCCGTTCCAGTTCGTCTTCCACATGTTTGCAAAAGCTGTATTTTTTTCTGAATATGAATCTGATCATGCTTCTTTCTTAAAGAGTTAAAGGATTCTTCACTGGCTTCAGGAAGACAGTGTCAGCATTTTCTCTTTCAACAGCAAAACAAAGAAACAAGCAAAATATAACCAAAGACACTGAAATAGAGAACAGGCTGACAGTGACTAGAGGGGAGAGGGGAGGGAATTTCAGGGGAATTTCAGCAGAAAAGGGGAGGGTTTGCAGGAACAAGTATAAAGGACACATGGACAAAAACTAGGGGTGGGTGGAAATGGATGGGAGGTGGGGAGGCCTGGGTGGGTGGGCTGGGATGGGAGTAAAAGATAGAAAATTGTACTTGAACAACAATTAAAATAAATTAAAAAAAATTTCTTTTTAAGATTTTATTTATTTAATTTTAGAGAGAGGGGAAGGGTAGGAGGAAGAGGCAGAGAAACATCAATGTGTGGTTGCCTCTTGCACACCCACTACTGAGGACCTGGCTGCAACCCAGGCTTGTGCCCTGACTGGGAATTGAACTGGTGACCCTTTGGTCTGCAGGCTGTCTCTCAATCCTCTGAGCCACATCAGCCAGGGCCAGCATCAGATTCTTGCTGACTTGATCTGTTTCTAGCTTTCACTCTCATTTCCCTTTCATCTGTGGTTCAGATCCCCAAACAAGTCATGCTTATTCTTTTTGACACACTATTGCAACTTCAATGTAAAAAGTACTTATATAACCAAAGGATTATAGTCCAAAGGATATATAGGTTTTTTCTCAGCAGACAAACCAGAATGATTCTAAAACCATAAGTCTAAACCCCAGTGTTTGTGCTCCAACAAGAGCTACCTTATTGTATAGCTTTGGGAATATTTTTCAGACTGTGTTCATACTAAATGGTGTTTGGAGGTGACTCTAGAGCTTTAAGAATCCCCTTCTCTTGAATTTTGGATGATACAAAGTTCATTTGAGGGCTGACCTCCCCACATAAGCTGTGAATTGTCTATAAATTGTTAAGTGCCATGGGTACATGTTTGACAAACAAACCATTCTGAAAAATGTTAAGCTGACATACTAGCATAAATATTTTACTTTTTATTTTAATTTGGGAATTTTGTTAGAGTTTATAGAGAGCAAATTGCTTGCCAATTTATAGGTTACAAGACCTTAGGTTCTCATGCATAGTTATAACGAGTTATTCCATTAAATTTGTTGTCATTCCCTTTTGTGAATAATATGATTGTGTTTTTCAAGTGTCAGTCTAATCAAGTGACTTTCAGCTCACTGACTTGACATATTACATTGAGATGAATTAAAACTTTTTGCCCCTGAATTAATTCTACTTAGTTGTTACGTGTATTCAAGGTGTTCAAGAGCTCTTTTAAAATTAAACTATTATTTTCTTAACAGCTGCTTATTACTGTGGCATTCAATCAACCTGTTAAGCTTTATTCGATGAAATTTCAAGGGCCAGATAATGGTAAGTGATGGACGGTTTTCCTCTAAACTAACTTTCTGTTCTGTAGACCTGTCAGCAGGCCTACTTCTGTTTATTAAGTAGAAGTAGAATATCCTTGTTTGGGGAGTGAAATTGTTTTTGTAACAAAGCGAGGGTGTAAATGAATGGGTAAATGATGTGAGATTTATTTCTGAAGTTTTTAATTTTAGAATTTAAGTTTCCTCTTACCCTGAAAGCAAGTGAACCCTTTCTTTCAGTTATTACTCTGAAACTCTAGGTTCGAAACAGCCATTTTCTAAGATCAGAACTGGGAGATAACTTATTTCAAACTCCTGTTACGGGCGATAAAACTATTGCTTGTGCCATATTTATAGATTCATGTTCTTTACACATATGATGCCGTAAACATGGTTGTAGAGACTTGGCATTTCTCTTTTCATTAAATGAAGACTTTTCTTCACTCAGCCCCTCCCTTTTTTTCTGTTTCAGTTGAGGAATTTTGCAGGGGAAGGGTGGAGGGGGTAAGGACTTGGCGTTCTTTTAGTTTTGTTTTTTAATTGATTGTAAGAAGGAGCCTACACCCTACTTATCAAAAAGCATTTCCTTCTCATTTGTTATTCTGAATTTTTGTATATTAATGAACTTTCCTTAGCGAAACTGTCTTTATTTTGAAAATACAAAGTATTTGTAAAAACAAATGCTGTAGTAATGCACATTTAAGCAATGTGAATATTTTAGGATTCTTTAATCAGCCCAAAAATATGGGTCTTAGATTGTACCCTGAAGTTAAAGGGACTAAGATGCTCTATAAATGTGAGTTTACCACTGAGCACATCTTAATTCCTAAGATGAAATTTGGCAATTTGTATAATGAATAGGCGTTTGGCTAATGGTGTCGCTGGTAATGCTTTCCTCCTAAGTAACGAAATGTGCCTATTGTTGGCAGTTACAAGACCCAGGTCCACTGTGACCTCGTTCGTGAAACTTGTTCACCTGCACGTACTGTCAGGCCCCAGCGCTGCTGTTCTGCACCTTCTCCCTGGCAGCACTGCGTACCCATAGTGCATCTGTTGCATGGGAGGGCGGGAACTTTGAACACGTGTGTGTGGACACACATGTGCATGTTTGTATGTGTTTTAATCTAGAATCCCTAGAGTGCAGTGCCAGCAAGCCGAGAAATGGCTATGAAAATACCTAGACTTTCTTAGAATTCTAATGATATATGTGGATGTGTGCGTATGTGCTTACGTTTGTACAGGATGAATGTAATAACATAGGTAGGAAAACATATGTTTGGTTTTTAGAGTTTCATTTTATTCGACCATTTTACAGGTCAGGGTCCTAAATACGTAAAAATTTTTATCAATCTACCCCGATCTATGGATTTCGAAGAAGCAGAAAGAAGTGAACCAACTCAGGCTCTGGAACTAACAGAGGATGACATTAAAGAAGACAGCATCATTCCACTGCGCTATGTTAAGTTTCAGAATGTCAACAGTGTAACTGTAAGTAGCGTTTCATTAGGATATGTGTAATGGCTTTGTGGGTGGCCATTCATGCTGAACTTAGTGATTCTAAATGATCTTTTAAAGTAGTTATTTGTCCACTTGGTTTGAGATACTAAAAATGTATAATGAGCTAATTAAATTTTCTTCTTAATTTATCTGTGTGCCCTAAGGGGAAGGACAGATTAATTTTAATTTGTGGATTTGTCAGTTTACTTATTTGATACACATTTGGCAACTGTTGTTAAAAGTTTATTCTAGAACATTCATACCTGAACTGAAGATACTTGTGCTGTATTATTCATACCTGGTAATGAATGACACATTTGTAAAATTGGATGCACCTTTCTAGAATCCTGAGTTTTTAATAATGTAGTGGTCACGATCTCAGTAAAAGTAACTTTGAAAAGATAGTTTGTTGCTTCTTAGCAGTTATTAACTGCTTCTGTGCACTTTGGTGTTGAAACCCAGCGTGTACTGTGCGCTCCCGCCCGTCCTTTAGAGGAGGGCACGGGAGGCTTAGGACGGGACCCTAGCAGGCCCGGAAAAAGAAGCGGGAATCAGCCTCGTCCCTGAGAACAAGTCGTGCCAAACCAGTGTGATTTCTTTGCTTTAGTGGGACGATTCTGGCTCTTCCAGATTAAAGAATGCTGTTAGCATGTGTTGATAACAACACCTTTGCCTTTGTGCTGGGAGGAAGGCAGCTTTTTATCGGAAAAGCTCTTCCAACCTAGAGATCCTGACATTCTCTATTCGCCTATGTCATTAGAATCACAAACCACAGTTACCTTGTGACAGGCTCCAGTCTTTATATGCTGTGTCCTCTCTCCATCAAAATTTCATTTAAGACACAGGCAGCATGTCTGTCACTGTTTTTGGTGATAAAGTTGAAATTGAAGTGACAGTTTTGATCAGAAAGTCTAATTAAAGTAAGTGGATGAATTTTAAAAGCAGCAGATACAAAAACTGTTGTGCTTAGATTCAAAGAGCATTACAAATAAAGGAATGGAGAGCTGGTTTCACAGTCTACTAATTAATTATAGACTTGAAGTTTTTAATTGAGCAGTTCACTTTGAGATGAATCTGTGGTTGCCTACACAAACCACACAAGCTGACTGGTGTGTGCCACCTGTGAATGAAAGAAGTCTGTTGTCCAGGTCAAGGTAGTGGAGATAGTATTCAGTAGACAGCATCTAGAATGTTGTGTTCTAAAGTATGGAGTGAATTAAATAAAAACAGACTGAGAGAGGACCTATGGATAAAACTTCTGTCTCCTAACATGCTGGGGCAAGGGGAGGATCAATAGGAAGTAGCAATGGTCAAGTGTAAAAAAACACAGGGTCCGGCAGAAGTAAGGCCTGCTTGAGTGTGGTTGGTAGGGTATTAATATGAGTGTAATAATTTGTGGTTTTAACTTGAACATTTCACCTGAAATGTCATATGGGGTGCTTGAGTGTGATATTGTTAGGTTACAGAATTACATGCTTACGATTTTGTAATAAAAAGGGATGTTATTTGTGCTGGACCCTGTATGAGCATAGAGTAGTTTTATGAGCTGGTTTCCAATACTGCTTTCTTTTACTATTCTAGGAAATTAAGTGAATGAATATCAGAAAGAATGTAACTGCAGAAATATTCCTCAGGGAAAAACTATAATTTTTATAAAATTTCAACAGCACCCGGCTAATTATAATTGTGAATTTCATATTCTTTAAACATTTCGTTTTAAAGAATTTAATCATGACCCAGCCACCCTAAATTACCAAGAACCGTGGATACGGGTGTTTTGCCGGGACGTCCCTGGAGTGGGTGCGAGTAGCAGGGCGAACAGTGGAATTAATGTTCCAGTGGGAGCACTGGTCTCAGGGTAATTGGGATCACTCCTTACAAAGAGTGGAAGGTTCAGTATGTTTATTAATAATCTAAGGAGATCAGTTAAACTGGAAGCATTTTTATGAAAAAGGATTGTAATTACTGCAAACATTATTGTTTTTTGGTAGATATTTGTGCAGTCCAATCAAGGTGAAGAAGAAACCACACGAGTTTCATATTTTACTTTCATTGGTACTCCAGTCCAGGCAACAAATATGAATGACTTCAAACGAGTAAGTTTGTTGAAACGATATTTAGGGCAAGTAAAATTATAATGTTAAAGAAATTATTTTATAAATATCAGAATCCTGTCATAAGGTTAAACTAGAACAGTAAGTTCTCCTAGTCACATTTTTAGATATGCAACTAAAAGAAATGTCTAATAAAATTAGTAAGTCCTACTGATACAGTGTCTATTAATGAATGACATCCAATTAAAAGGGTAAAAATAATTGGTTACAGAAAGTAGTTAGGAGTAATGGAAAAATAGTCAAATCATTATTATTAGTGAACTTTTAAGAACTACTGATATTAAGATTTGGAATATCATTTCTGATGAAAATATTTAAAATGACTTGTATGATTTTAATAAAAAACAATGGACTTAATTTTACTGCACTGAGATGTTAACTTTCAAATTATGTGCGGAAAGAACACATTTCAGAAAATAAGTTTTTAGTGAGCAGATATTTGTATATACTATATATTAGTATATATTTGTAAACAAATATTCTGAGATTTGCAAAGAATTTATAAGGTACAGGGGACCATTAGGAATGAGAACATTTGTATATTCATGGAATTACTTCTAATTGGTAACAGCTCCTTATGGTGACTCCTAAAATATACAACCACAGATCATAAAATTACCTGTGGTAATTTGCACCTGAGCCTTATCTGCACAGAACCCCGGAGCTGCACACAGATGAGCTGTGCGGCAGCGTAAGAGATACGGTTATCATCACGTTCCTGGTGGCTGCACCTGGCAGGCGGTCTAGAACTTGAGATGATTATAAAAGAAGAGTTTCCCTAGGGCTGGCCAGTGACCTCACTGTGTGGGGAATCGGAGCCATAGAACATGCTGAAATCTTACTCCTTTTGATGGTGTCGACAGATGTAATTTTAATTCAGCTACAGAAAAATTCATAAAAATTTCATGACATTAGATGACCTTATAAAATTGTACAGTTTTTTTTTTTTTTTTTTACAAAATTGATGACCTTGATTATAGATACTTTAACCAGGCATTTTACCAGTACCATCTTCCTGTCTTTATAGTGTAGTGAACTTTTGGGAGCTGTAGGAACAATCGTGTGCTTAGAGCTGTCATGTTAAATGTTTGACATACGTACAATGACAGGTCAGGAGAAGCAGAGATTAAACATCTACAGTTTTATGATATGAAATATGCTGCACTGGGAAAATGTGTGAGCAACATAGACGTTTTGGCTGCCTGGTTTTTTACTTTGCCTGCTTGAATTAAATTCCATTGGATTTAGCTTTAACTGTTCCTTGCACAGTTTGTTTTTAGCTTAATACTTTCATAAGATCTATTACTCTAAGTCCTGTTACTTTCTCATACCAGTAACTCAGCTCTGGTTTTCTGCTTCTCACTAGCTTATGCTGTTGGATTTCCGTTTTGTTCCTAAGTAACCACTACTTTGTCTCATCCATCTTTCTACCAGCCTGCCATTCGTTCGTTTTTCTAACGTGCATTAACCGTTGTCTACCTGAGATCTGTCTCCACCTCTGGTTTTGACACCTCCATCTACCCCTTCTGCACTGGCTCTCCTCTTTTCTGACTGCCAGACTGCCTTTTTGCGGACTGTCTTTAGGATGGCAACAGTGTTAGACTATTCTTGCTTGAAAGTATTTGTACTTGTTTAATAATTTGGCTAGGTATTCATTTAATTAAATACTTCTTTACCTTACTTAAAATCATTATCATGCCCTGGCCAGTTTGGCACAGTGGATTGAGTGCTGGCCTGTGAACCGAAGAGTCACTGGTTCGATTCCCAGTCTAGGGCACATGCCTGGGTTGTGGGCCAGGTCCCCAGTTAAGGGTGCGTGAGAGGCAACCTCACATTGATATTTCTCTCCCACTCTTTCTCCCTCCCTCCCCCTCTCTTAAAAATGAATAAAATTTTTTAAAAAATAAAATTTACTATCGAGCAGTACTTGTCAAATTTTTTGGACTCAGGACCCTTTTGTACTATTAAATATTATTGAGGACCAATAAGAGCTTGTGTTTCTGTGGCTCTACCTGTCTAACATTTACCATTTAAGAAATTAAAACTGAGCAATTAAAAAACTATTTACTTACAAATAATAAACTCATTGTATATTAACACAAATAATATTTTTAAATTGTATATACTGTATTTTGCTGTGTGTAATGCATACTTTTTTTGCCCAAAATTTTGAGGGGAAAATAAGGATGCACATTATATATGAGTAGTATTAATTCCATATTTATATAAATGTTTTTAATTCTTTTATTTATGCTTATACATGAAAAGTGTAACTCTAGGAAGCAATGATATATGTATGCAAAATAATATCCTGGAATATGATAATTGGTTTTGTTTCTAAATATAAAAATTGAATTAAAAAATTAAAACAAAAATTTTTTCCCTGAAAGTTTGGGTCAGAAATGTGGGTGCACATTATACACAGCAAAATATGGTATTTTCCAAAACAAAAACCGGCTTAATGAGGGGAAGAATGTTGTTTTATACTTTTACAAATTTCTTTACTATTTAGCTTCATTGAATTCTCTTATTCTCCTATTTGTTTTTTCATTAGTCAGTTGTGCTGTCACAGGTATGTAGCCTCTCAAAAACTCCGTTGTACACTTGTGAGACAATGACAGTTAAAAAGGCAAATAACAATTTAGCATTATTATGAAAATAGTATTTAGCTTGAAGACTTCTGAAAGGGTTTCAGGGACCCTTCCGGAGCCTGGGCCACACCGGGAACTGCTGCGAGAACAGTTTAACACTGGAGTGGATGTGGGCTCCTTTGTGGTGTTCTGGGCTTCTTCGCCCTGTGCTGACAATGTCTGATGCATTTTAATTGGTTGAATGGTTTTCTGACATAATACTAATATTACATTACATTTCCTTTTAATAATTTCTGAGTGAGATTTGTTCTGCCTGTGTAATTCATTGTCCTGCAGGGTTATTTCTCACTTTTTAAAATATTTATTATGCTAAGTCAACAACTTTAGCATAGGAAAATTGCAATAAAATTAGTGTCTTTTTAACTAAAATTGGCCAGTTTGGTCCTTGTATAGAGTTGCCTGTAAAAACTTGAGTTTGGTTGAGTTTGGTTTCTAGCGAAGGAGATGATAGATACGCGGTACGGTCTTCGCAGGACTGTGCCTGCCGGGTGCAGTGGTGATCCCTGTCTGCAGTGAGGTCACGTTCTTGAAGAATAATCCACAGACATCTAGAAAGCTAATCAAGTGAATCAAGCATAGTTCAAGCTTCTCTTCCTCCACAGGGTATCCTCATATCTTCCAGGCCAGCGTTATTTCTTTTTTCACAACGGTGCTGGGGAAGGAAGAGTATTTTGTGAAGGAAGAGTGTTTTGAATGTAGCTTGAGGAGTAGGAGTGGATGGAGGAGCCAGGATAGCAGTGGGCACTCTAGTTAGAATGGAAAAGAGGAACTTCCCAGGACAAGTCAAGTGTGGCCCTTCTTTCCCTTATTTAGTCATTCTGAATTTTAAAGGGATTACACATAGTAATTAGAATTTAAAATTTCAAAATAGATTTAGTACATATTTTATCAGCACAGAGAAGAAAAGTTTGATACCTCTGTGTAGTGAAGTTATATAAAGTGGTTTAATGAATGATAAAACAGGATCATTTGGCATTATCAGTTTACATTTTTATGTTGTGTGAGTTGTTCTAGATAATTTTAGTTTTCAGAATGTCATTGACCTCCTTATGTCACTAAGATGACAGAAGCTAAGGTAACACTAAAGAATCTTGGATGTGGGTAGAAATCTTAGACCCCCTTGCATGCCACTGCAACTTTGAATAAGGTACTTTGAAGGTTTGGCAGACTAGAACACACCTTCCGCTTGTCTTTTTTTGGCTCATAATTACAGGCATGGTGCACAGATTATAATATACACTTAAGCCATTTGCTGTTGTAAATGGGTCCTTTGTGTTGCAGAATGAAAAGCTTGCCATCTTAATTGGAAGTAGATGTTTTCTTTGCTAAAACATGCTCTGTACATGGATTGCTTTATTTTAGTGCAAAAGTAATAAAAGATAAGGACAAAAATGGGCAACCTCAGAGGGGCTTCTGCTTCGTAGGGAATGAGTTGCATGGGAAGAAGAGCAGAGCAGGTTCTCTCTCACTGTAATAAAAACAGACTTTTCTAAACTGGCCATTCACCGTGTCAGCTGTTCTTGTAACATTTCTGTCTGTTTATTTTTCAGCTTTTTTAATCCAACTCAAATGAACTAAAACCAGAAGATTTTTAAAAATGAAGTAATAGAAAGACTGACCTTATCTCACTCCCCTCCTTGCTTCTCTGCTCATCTTGCACCTGTCCGCTCTCACCCTTCCCATGTTCTCATCACTGTTGGCGCAAGACCTCTCCAGCCTCTGGCATCTGGATCGGCCTCACTGTTCCCTAGCTTCCTCCACCATCTCTGTCTTCAGACCCCACCAGTCCTGCTGCGCCACGGGCTTTCGTTCTGTTTCCGTTGTTGTGTGGGGCTTGCGGCGGGCGAGGGGCTTCCATTTCCTCCCCACATGTGTAGCTGCCCTGATGCATTCAGAACTCTCTCCTGTCTCATACTTAATTGTGTACTGCCTTTTGAGAAATAATGTTGCAATAAAATTGATGTGTTGTAAATGGTTTCAGATTTAACTAGTTGTTGGATAATATTTTAATTCCATCTGAAGTTTAGCTTTTATTTTTAGGAACTGTAGAATCATTTTGGAAACCAAATACAGACCGTTGTATCAAGTTCGTTTATACTGCTGGTAGTATAGTATATTGATTAGGCTGTAGTTGAGAGATGTTTTTTCCCTCATTGGAGCTGCAGCCCAGAAATCATTTTGCTTACTAATTGTGGGTGTGTCCTATGCTTTGCCTACCCACATGAGCTCAAGGCCAGTTGAAAGACTTATGGACTGAAGATTAGGCTGGTTTAAAATATTAATATAGAAGAAAAAAGGACTATTTACTGAAGAAATATTTTTGACACCTAATTTTGATGTACCTAGACTTTTGTTTGTCTGGGGTGTTAATATAAAAACTTAAAATGAATAAAAGAGCTTTATGTGTGGGATGAGAAAATCCATATTGGAATGTTAAATTTCTTCTTTTTTACAGAGAGTACACATTGGCAAGTTGAGAGCTATCAACCTGTGAAACAGTATGCAGATTTGTGTCTTCTGTATCACATCTGCTAAAAGTTTAATTTTTAATACTAGTTTCTTTTGCTTAATCTAATAGCTGTGTTCTGTGTGTTCTCAAATGATACAATGATCAATAATGCTTTCAGTGTTTACCTGCTTGAATTCATTCTTGATACAAATGGTTTCATCTCCCTTTCTTCTTTGAAGAAGGCTCCTTACGGCTATTAAAACCTACATTTCTTACTCTCATCCACATACTCTTTTCTGAGACAATCTCTTTAGCATCTTCCTGGCTTTTTGGGCTTTCTAACACATGGTTTCCTTGGTTTAGTGAGGAGTTCTTTTAAAGTAATAGTGGTTTTACTTGAGGTGGGGAAAACAGCAGTTCCAGCGTTATGTGTCTGGACATTCAGTGGAAGGGATTTTCTTCTCTTTTCTCATGAAGGACATTGACTCAGCCATTTATTATTTTAGGCCAGTTTTGCTTGATTCAGACACTATCATTTGGAAAAGAGTCAGTTTAAAATATGAAATTTACATTTACAAATGTATGTAGACATTTTCCTATACAAATATATACAATAGCTTGCAAGTAGATTCCTTTTGAGGCATTCTGCTATGAGAATACATTATTTAATAATAAACCTCAGGTTTGAAGTAAACTATTCAATTAGAACATAGTTTTAGAAATTTCCCACAGAAAATTTGTTTTCTAGAACTTGGTAGAAACCAAGTTTATTTATATTTTTATTCTGCCACATTTATAGCAACTAGGACATTTTAAAAACCTTCTAATCAACAATTTTTCTAATCATTGACGGATTTATTTTTATAGTGCATTTATAGAAACCAGGGTTTCTTAAAAATAGAAGCTAGGCAAAGTCAGTCATTTTTTAATACTTCTATTACATGTCTACATATTGAGAGAAACATCTAGAAACCTGTCATCTTGGACATGAAGACCTAAGTTTAGCATACTCTTTCAATTCTAGATTGTGTTTGACATTTGATTTCTAATTTTCTAAAAATAGTATGCCACATGTTTCACTCATATAGCATCATCTTTTTATTAATGTCTCTAAACTGTCAACCTTGTTTTGAAGAATTGCATTACTTTTCCCTAAAACAGTGTGGGGAGCCAGCAGCAGCCTGCATGCGGAGTCGCTCTGATTCCTCGAGGCTGGAAGGGGCGGGGCGGGGCGGGCGGGGCGGGCACCGCGTGCCTCGCAGTGAGTGTGGACTGCATGCCGGGAAAAGTGCGGGGCAAGAGTTAACTCCAGGTGTCAAAGATGATGAACAATTAATACTGTTTTGTAGTGGTATTACTTGGAAGATAACCCATATTTCTGAATCAGTAAGATGTACATATAAAATTATTTTTGTTTTTCTAGGTAGTGGGCAAAAAAGGAGAAAGTCACTAAGGTACCGGAGACACGGGAAGGCCACGTGGCGATCAGACCCACAGCTCCCGGACGACCGCTCGGTTCTCGCCAGAGACTGTCACAATTCCATCCATTGCCATTACCGATAAATCATTGCTTTTGTCCCGAAGATAGCACTAGTTTCTGTTGTAATCTTGTTACATGCAATTGTAAATAAAAGTCACTACTTTTGCCAAGCTTAATTTTTGTTCTTCTAAATAAGTATTTCTCTTTCCATTCCTTTGAAAATTGGCGACTTTTGATTTAGAAGAAACTGAAGTGTCAGCTAGCACATGAAACTAAAGCTCGTTTCTCTTTTCGGAGGAGCCGCACTGAGCTAGGGAATGAAGGCACACGAGTGCCCTCGCGTGCAGACGTGCGGAGCGGGCGGCTCTGATCAGTGCATCGGAGCGGCCAACCATGTTCAGATGAGTCCAAACTCACGTTTGCTGAGCGGCGTCTGGGTGCCTGGGCTGTAGAAATTTCTCAAACGACAAACTACCAGAAATGAAACAAGCGTAGTGAGATTTAACTGTTCTCACCTAAAACATGTAGTTAATGAATCCACAGATTGGACTTCCTTCTGGATGAACTTTAAAAATTGGAGTCAGCCGTTTGCTTACTGAAAGAGGTGTGTTGAAATTCGACAGTAGAGAAAATACAGAACTCAGAATTCATGAAGCAACATGAATTAATGTCCTCTAATCAAGTATTTATTCTTTTAACTACCAAAAGATGCAGTATAAATATTCAGAAAACTTGGTTTAAGGTTGAAAATGAATTGGCCAAATGTTTGTGATGAAAAGGTCTTTCATAAAAGGCTGGTAAAACAAAACATCTATCTTGTTCTGTTCCTTATTGCTTTTTTTAAATCTTGAAACTGTAATCTGTGAAGTATTGGTAAATCTAATGTTTTAATTTTTAAGGTTAAAATGTAATATTTTAATTTCTCTATTTTAAAAATTCAGTGTTTGAAAAGAGTACGTAAGACATAGTTTTAATTCAGTTAATTAAATAGTAGGTTTGAGGGCATTTTTGTCTGGGAATATAGTGGAGATACCATTTTGCCTTTGGGAGACCAATGTATTTACACACATTCATGAAAACAATTACACGTCAGTTTCTGTGTGAAATTTTGTCGCTTTCTGAAACCCCAGTGTCATTAGATAATGTTTAGTTCCTTTGTATGTGAGCACATGGACTGGTCCGTGGTGATTTCTGTGTATCTTATGTATTTCATTTTTATGTTGCCTTGGGTCAAGTGAAGGCAGAAGGGCAAGAAATAAAGGTTTATAACACTCCTTAATGTAGACCATCTCAGATTAATCACGTCTGAAATTAAGGATAAGGTTGATGTCGAGAGTTCTGTTTTACAGTTTGTACACCTGATCTTTTTAATTGTTAAAGTGCCTCATCTGAAGTATTGCTGACCTCATCCTATTTATACTTGACAGTTTAGAAACCCAGTGAAGGTAATTTAATATTTGTAAAGGATTGGGCATCAGATATATATTGTTTATGTGACTTTTCTATAACTCACTTGGTTGCATTATGCAAACATTCCATAATTATTCAAATTGTTAATAGTGAAAAATGAATGTTTCTAGGTAACTGTAACGTGTTTCACTATGGGAAGTTTTACAAATAAACACGTGTAGTTGACATTATTTAAATTACCAAGCGGAAATGCTGATGTTTTCTCCTAAAACAGTGTATGTGCATAAATACACATACACATTTGAACATAAATACAACGTAACACATATGTCACTGAATGGTCCGGATGACCGAGAAGAGCATTTGAAAAATGTAACCCTAGTTACCTTACCTGAAGCTGTCCATTAGAGAGTGTTTTCTGGGAAACCGACACTAGGTTTATGTATGTTTTGTCAGACATGGGCAAAAAAACTTCACAAAACTTTCCCCTTCATTTTGCATATTTTGTTACATTTCACATCAGGATGCATTACCTGAAGCGAAGCAGCAATGAAATGCCCTGTCCGTAATGGAAACAAAAGTGTTTCAGCGCGGAGGCCTGGCCAGCAACAGGCCGAGGGCAGGGGTGGCACACAGGCTCCCAGACCCGCGGGCCCATGGCGGGCGCTCATGGTCCGTGCACCCCAGACTGTGCCCCGGTCTCACGTTGGAGGTAGCCACCTAACCTGTTGGAGTTGACATATGACTTGAAACACTCATCTGCCACCTTTCTCACGGCTTGAGCACGTGTACTACATATTTTCTGCAGTGTTCACGGGCGTGCCATTACTGTACACTGTAGCATTTTACATATGGCTGCCATCAATACACTTGATATGGGGATTTGCTTTTTTACCTAAAGGAGTTCAGGTCTTCCCACGTCCTCCTTGATGTCTAATCTTTAATACTGTAGTAAGAATAAATTGGAATGGAGTAAATCAGTCAAACCCTGTCCTTTGTAAGCTTTAAGGAGTGAAATAAATTTAGGGTTTACCCACATTGCTTGTATTTATCTAGTTCAGTTTGGGAGGTTAAACTTTGTGAAGGTGTATATTCTGAAATCGGTCATTTCTAACCTTAGATAAATCTTGTTTAAGAAAAGTAGTAATTCACTGAATGCCTTTTAGAGGATCCTGCTAAGGAGTAGGATCTTTGAAATTTGAATCTGTGCTCCCACTTGTACGCTGTGCCATTTTGAGCAAGCGGCGTTCTTGGAAGCTTGAGTTTCTTGTGTAAAAATAGGATCATTACCCCTTAGGCTTGTTCTGAAGATTGAGTGTGCGTAATTTTGTGTCTGAAACAAGGGTAAGCACTTAGCTTCTGTACCCTGCTGTCTTATCTCGCTGTCACTGATTTTTAGTCCATCATTTCTTGCTTAGTATAATGCACTAGTCTCCCAGTTGTCTCCTTGCCTCTCACCTGGTCTCGAATGTCTCCTTCCATGGCTGCTAGTTACCTTCCCTTTTCTGGTCTTCATGATCTGAGCCCTCCCTCACCATTTCCTTTGTGTCTGGCACTGTACTAGCAGTTCCCGGAATGTGCCCTGTTAGCTAATGCCTTCCTCCCACCTACCTGTCCACCCGACAGATTCCTATGTATCTGCAAGGCTCAGTCCAAACAAAATTGGTAGAGGAAACACCTAACGACTCGATGCCTTCTCTGTTGCCATACGCACGCTGTGGTTATTGCACTGTGGTCGTTTCATCCTGATACGGATCGAACTATGTTGTCTGGAGTCTTATTTGCTGAACCTGCTTATGAGCAGTAGTTTCTCCATTGCACCAGCCAAAGTTATTCAGATCTGTCATTAACAAACACTAGACTGAAGAAGTCTCAGGTTTCAAGAGGAGATGCTTAAGGCAAGTCCGGGAGATTGTAGGAATTTGCAATTAAGCAAGGTAAGAAAGAGAATTTAGCAGTAGTCGAGAAGTGTATGGTGGGTACATAGAATGAGAGTTAAAGAAGTTTCTTAGGTGAGGGAGGAGACGAAGCTGGAAGAGCAAGTAAAAACTGTATCGTGACGTTCCTCCTGCCATGAGAAAGATCATCAGACTCTCCTTAATTTATGGGAGGAGAGAGGAGTCGAAGTACTCAAGTGTCTCACTTTCACAACTGGAAGTAGAAATGTTGGTCCTTAGGAAAGGCAAGTTGGGAGGAGAAGGTGAAGGTGGTTTTGGATCCATTGCCCAGATTTTAGAATTTAGGGCCAGCAGTGGGAGCTAGCAGTCATCTGGGTGATGAAAGTTGAAATAGGTGTACGAATGGGAGCATCTAGTGAGGATACAAAGCGGGGAGAAGGAAACTAAGGCACAAAGGCTAGAGGACACTAATAAATGTTAAGGAATTAGCAGAAGAGTGGCCGGGAAAGCAGTTTAACAGCAGGAATGTAGAAGAAAGAACAGGAGAAGTTGGTAAAAAGTGGTAAATCAGGAGGGAATAGTTAACGTAGGGATGGAATTTAGTAGGACTATCCAATTGTCCTTCAAGTTGAGTCTGTAGTCCTTAATGACAAGAATCATCGATCATATTGCCATTCTTTTGGTTGAAGGGGAATCAGCACATGGAAGGATTCTGAAACCTCTGGCAAAGGAATTGGGAAGCTTTTGTAGTCTACCATTGAACGTGACTTTACAGGAGGATTAACAAGGCATGGAAACCAATGGCAACAGTCCGTATGAGAGACTGTGAACCACTGCTTTGAAGCGGAAGGTGATTCCTCTGCCGGAATCTCTGATGGGTCACTTAGGTTCCTTAGTAATAAGATTTCCAGTTTTGTTAGGGGAGGACTGAACACGTAAGCTGTTAAAACCTGCTCTTCTGGGTTTGTGAATACAGCAGTCTCCCCCGATTCAGAGTTTCACTTTCCACAGCTTCAGTTCCCCACAGTCACGGGTGGTTCCAAATATTAAGTGGAAAAATACAGAAATAATTCCTGCGTTTTAAATTGTGCGCCACCCTGAGTAGCTGTGATGAATCTCGCGAGGCCTGGGACATGACATCCGTTTGTCCCGCGTCTCTCCAGCTGTAGACGCTCCCCGTTGGCCTTGGTGGAGATACTGCAGTGCTCGTGTTCAAGGGACCCTTCCTTTATGTAACAATGGCCCCAAAGAGCAAGAGTAGTGATGCTGGCAGTTTGGACGTGCCACAGAGAAGCCGTGAAATGCTCGTTTGTATGTCAGAGGGTCAGCAGTAGCCAGGTGTTATGTCATGATGCCTACGTCATTCATTCATCTCATCACGTAGGAATTAGATCACTTCATATCAGGACCAGAAGGGTAAGTACAGTCAATTAGATATTTTGAGAGAGAGACCACATTCACATAACTTGTATTATAGTATACTGTTATAATTGTCCTATTAGTTATTGTTAACCTTTTGCTGTACCTAATTTACAAAATTAAACTTTATCATTGTTTACAGGGACAGAGTATGTACCTGTGTGTATAGGAAACAACAGCATAAATAGGCGTTGGTACTACTCGTGGTTTCAGACATCTGCTGGGGGTCTTGGAGCTGATCAAAGAATTCAGCAAGGTGGGAGCACACAAATGTCAAATGACCGATTGTATTTCTATACACTTGCAGTGAATAATTAAAAATTGAGATTAAGGGAACAATTCCATTCATAATAGCATCAAAACAATAAAACATTTAGGAATAAATGTAATAATAGATATCTTTTCTAGATATCTTCTTTTTGTTGATTTTTAACTTAATTCCATTTCTATAAGAGAACATACTGTAAGATTTCAATCTTTTGGAATTTTTTGAGACTTTAATTTTGTTTAAAATTTCAATCTTTTGAAAAGTGAGACCAATGTAATGGTCTATCTTGATGAACATTCCACGGGCACCTCCAAAGAAGGACCCCCCTCAGTTGTCGAGTTCAGTGTTTTTACCAAGTATCAGTGAGGTCAAGGTGATCAGTGGTATTGCTCAGGTGATCTCTACCCTTGCTAATGTTATTATTATTCTGTTAATTACCAAGGGAGTAGTTGCCAACTAAGCTTGTACATTTGGCTTAAACACATATACATTTGGCTTAAACACATATACATTATGTCTTTCTGATGAATTGACACTTTAATCATAAATGTCTCTTTATATCTCTGGTAATCAATCCCCCATGTCTGGAAGTTTATTTATTTTGTTTGAAGTGCATATAGTCACTCCCACTTTCTTCTGATTGTTTTGCATGGCATAGCTTTTATAACTTTTTAATATCCAATGAGTCTGTGTCTTTGTATTTTCAACATTTATCTTGTAGAAGGCATTTAGTTAAATCCAGTCTGATAATCTCTGTTTTTTAATTAGAGTTATTCTATTTACATTTAAATTAATGATCAGTATGAGTTATTTAGGTGTACCATTTTATTTCTTTTCTAGTTGTCTCATCTGTGTTTAGTTTTTCTGTTCTTTTAAACCTGCTTCCTTATATATTAATCAAAATTTCATAATTTCATTTAACTTCCTTTTTTTTCTAGGCAATGCATTGGGTATCTTTAACAAATCACTTAGGTTTAACAGATTATGCTTCTTTTTTTTAAAAAAAAGATTTTATTTATTTATTTTTTTAGAGAGAAGAAGGGAGGAAGAAAGAGGGGCAGTGAAACATCAGTGTGTGGTTGCCTCTTGAGTGCCTCCTACTGGGGACCTGGCCTGTAACCCAGGCATGTGCCCTGATGGAGAATCAAACCAGCAATGCTTTGGTTCACAGGCCTGAACTCAGTCCACTGATCTGCACCAGCCAGGGCTCAGACTATACTTCTTCACATCAAATATAGGAAACTTGAAGCACTACATTTCTGTTTACCCTCCTCATTCGTGGTA